GCCTCTTGGTGTCTGGTTCCATATCTAATCACGGGTTCCAGGGATCAATGGTGCCACAGTGCAATGAGGAATCTCACATTTTCCACCAGAGCCTTGGAATTAAATAACGGTTAAAAAACGTGTCTCAGCTCAGCCGTCTCATACAACAGGTATCCAGCTACAACCATGGGCCTAGCTTTAAGCATCACTTTGAAAAGAGTGCTGCTTTGAAACCCTGTGCCAATCAGCTAGGAGAGGTTTACATGGAAGGCACTGGCACTGAGGCGGGGTGAGCAGGCAAGGACAGGAAATGACTACAATGTTATCAGTATCACTTGTTTAGCACCTCTGCAAGGGAAGAGATGGTGCAGTTGGAGTTCGGGACATTATTTAGCCTCTATATCAAAATCCAGTTTTCTTCGGGAAATCCTTTACAGCACTAACGAGACTTCTTGGGCAGGACACCTGCCAAAAATGAAACCAGCTTTGGAGACCACTGTTCTGTTCCTGCTACTACTTACCAGAGTTGTGAAAAACCCATGGCATTTGACTGGTTCTAATGACTATAACAGCAAGCGATAAATTCACACCGAAAATTTTTAAAATCTCAATTTGCTGGGGACACATGCTTGTAAATTGTATCATTGTGGGGGTGGGTGGAGTCATTAAACTACAAAACACCTAATTTTCCTCGCACAGTGCAGTTTCTCATTGATAAAGCAGTGTTGTTTTCCTTGGGTTTGCGCAGCTGCCTTTGATTTAACCTGTGAATAGTTTACTTATAATTCTGTCATGGTAGCTGCACTCAACCCTTCTCTGAAATTTGGGACTCCCAGCATTATTGTGTACCTCTGCATTAAATCTTTTTACAGATCTGAGATCCACTTGTTGGGGGAAGGGCACAAAAGGGAGATTTTAAAGTGTGTTTTGGGGTTGACATAAGACTTGTCAAATGCATAAAATTATGTGAGGAAATGAAATTTTATCTTTGCTGGCAGGTGCGACGGCAAGTAAGAGGTGGTAGAGTATCATTTGTGTAGGACTGTGTAGCTGCTCCAAGCCTAGAAAGAAATAGCTGTGGTATAAGAACTGTAGATTTACCAAAGATGCTAACTTGAATTACAGGATGAGATCACAAATATTTGTGTATTTCGGGGAGGAAGTTTTGGAAAGTGTGCATACAAGTATGAAAGACTCTGGAGCCTTTGTGGAATTTTGAGTAAACAGCTTTAAAAAGTGTTGCTGATGAATCCTCCTGGATCTGCAGTGCCTGAGATATGAGGGATTCCTTAGCAAAATTAATACTGCTCTTGATATTTTTTTTTTTTTTTTTCAACTAGACACTTTCAAAAGGCTTTTCTTCTATGGTTGTTTTGTTTTTGTTTTTTGTAATGATGTTTACTAGTGATCTGAATTAGTGAAAGTCAGAGACTGACCTCCTGCAAAGGTGAATCTTGCAACATCCTGGACAATATATTATGACGTTTAATGAAACAAATCAACACACAGAAATGTGCTTCAGAAATTAGACTTGTTCTCATGTATACAGATGAACCTTGTGAGCAGGTTGTGTCTCAGCACTTGTCATTAAAACTTACTTGTCTGGACACAAACGGTTCAACTGTAGTATGATAAAGGGGGGATGAAAGATTAATGTACTTGTGCCCCCCCCAAATGGACCTAGGCAAGCAGGAGTTTCCAAAGCTGGCTTCTGCAGTGTTTCACCTCATCTAGTCATATACTTGAGCGCAGGATAATCTGGTAGTAACTCAGGTGATGTTTGAACAGTGCGGTTGCTTGGAGGAAGCTTCAGAAGCTTTATTTTTTCTACACTGATGGCTTCTGAAGCATATATTTAGGAAACTAGGATCCTTTCTAGAGAAAAGGCAATGTCAGCAACTAGCCACAGCATGGAAAACTTCAGGCTTTGATCTGTTTTATTGAAGAGACAGCACCACCTGCTGGCAGAAAGATAATGTTGATTTGCTAATCAAGGAAAAGGCCTTTGTTTCCCTGCTTCCATTATTCTAAGAAACTGGGTGCTATGAGAGAGGCTCAGGACTGAGTCTGGTACAATGATTAATTGATAACAGCCTTTATCCTGTCAAGATGACAGAAATCCAACTGTAACATGTTAAAAAAGGTATTAAACCAGACTTAATTACCTGTTACATTTTAAAATATAGAATTTTCAGCTTATTTTGCCAGCTGTGGTTGGGAAGCAGGAGGGGTGCAGACTAAGGTGGCTGCAAAGACAGGATGGAGAGTCCTTATTTTTATGGCAATCCAAGAAACAAACTAGTCTGCAAGTGTTAATGCTTTTGTTCCTATCTTTTTCTTGGTGTGCTTTTTGTATTGTACCATTTCCCCTCCCCCGTATTCAGACTGCACATGGCCTATAACGGCATATATAGTGCAACACCATTATTATTCACTAATTTTCACTGTTGTGAAAGTGATTTAGAATAAAAAATGGTTTTACATTAATGAAGACCCTCTGACTTTCTTTTCTGGGATGACATAGGTGGCTCTCTTCACTGTAGCCCATGGCAGACTAGGCAGTGATGCCAGTCTCCCTGTTCCTGGAAGCCAGACTGGCCCACTACTGTAGTTGCACCGCTGCACAGCTCGCCTCTCACGAGTCAAGGGCAGGCGGCCTCTCCCGGCCTGGGCATAATCCTGTCATTGCTTGAAGAAGGAAGGGTCTGTCGCCTCTTTGTCTCTTAAGAAATGGCGCCGAGAGGAGGTCAAGACGGGCAGCCAGGGCTGGAAAGGCCCTTGGGTGCCTGAGCTGATCTGGTCCGACCTCGTTTTACAGCCGCGCCTCGCTGGAGCCTGTTGCAAGGCGGACTCGAGCTTTTCCTCCGAAGCCGCTCCTCGTCCCTGAGCCCCTCGCCCGGAGGAACTGAGCAGCCCGCCCGCCTCGCCGCGTCCCTGAGCCTCGCGGGCGGGCGCCGCCCCGGGCAGTGCCTGGTGCTGCTGGAAGTCAGGATCCGCTTTGGGCGGCCCAAGAGCCCTGCGGTTCCCCGCCCCCGCGTGCGGGACTCTGCCTAGACGCTGCGGGGGGGGGGCGTTACCGTGACGGAGGGGGTGGAGTTACAATTTACAAGCAGCCAGAGGATTTGCCCGCTCCCATGAAGAGGTGGCGCCTCCGGATGGGCGGGGCTCTGATTGGCCCGGGGCGGTGAAGGGGGCGGAGCTTGCGACTGCCCCCGGGAGGGATGCCCAGGGGCCAGGTGCGGAGTGACCCGCCCCGCACTCCGTAGAGCCTGACGTCACTGTGCGGCGAGACCCGGAGCCGCAGCCGCTTCGCCGCAGGCCATGGAGACGCTGCCAGGTGGGGCCGCGCGGGGCAGAGGGGGACGCTGCAGTCTCGTCTGTGGGACCCGCCGCGGTGGCCCGTGCCCCCGGGGGCCTGTGCCCCTCTGCCCCGGCCGTGAGGGCTGTTGCAGGCTCCGGTCTGCTCTGCTTCCCCCGCGCCCCGCCCCTGCCTCCCCGGCGGCCCTGCTGCCGGTGCTGAAGCCCGGGCGGCTTCTCTCCCGCTGCCCGGCAGACCCGCGCCTCCTCCGGCCTTGCCGTGCTGGGCGCGGAAGGGCCGGCCTGGCCTTGCCCGGCCCGGCCCGGCCCTGCCCTGCCCTGCCCTGCCCTGCAGGTGTCGCTTCAGGCACTTGCCCTTGGCTCTGAAGCATCTCCCAGATCCCCTGGAAATCGCAGTGCTCGCGTGTCCAGGCAAAGAGGAGGGTGCAATAGGGTTTGTGGCTTCCTGCATCTTCCTCTTGGTTCTGAAATCAGCCTCAATACTGTGAATACAGCAGCGTGCTGCACTGCCCCGTAGTCCAGGTAGCAGGAGCAGAGGAAGCGGCTCCAGGTACGGAGCCAGAAAGAACTGGAGGAAGAGCTGACAGCTTGTGCTAGGTTTGGATGGAGCTGAGGTACTGATACAGTCTGGTTTCATTCTGGCCAGCAAACCGTTGTTAGTAGAGCAGGGTCTTGTTTGTGTTTTCTGGGAGAAGCTTGCTTTCCGCATTTCAAAAGTCATCTTTGTCTTGGGGCTTGGAGGAGTGAGTGAGTGGGGGAGTGTCACATCTCTTCTCTGGGGCTTCTTGCTTTGTACATAATGGCAAGGGTGAGGCTGGGACTCTGGGCTCAGAATCTCTTAATATGTAGAAAGCGGGACGTGGCCTAAAGAGACAAGAGTCTTTCTCTGTAGATCATGTAAGGATGCATGCACGTGCAGGTATTCTCTCTAGCCTTTGACTTCTCTCCATCTTGGTTCCCTGCCTTGCTTTTCTACTTTTCCAGGTTTACAGTTTTCCATGGTGTGTCAACTTGATGCTCGATTCATCCACTTCTACATGATACACTCAACAGTGCTAACTGCCAAGTCATGAACTGTTGGATGTACAACGTCCTTGTTCAGCAGATTGTTAACAGTTCCCTTGAGGCCCACAGAGTAGGCTGTGCCTAGCTGTCTTTGCTAGGTCACTGGTTTATCAGCTTTGCTGCTCCCCCTCCCTCATGGCTGAATGTTTCTTATACTTCAAGGAGGAAAGGTTAAAAATTTCCTTGCTGTTAGCCATGCTTTCTAGATTGTATTGGGGAATGTATCAGAGCTTCATCCTCAGTAATGATCTTCTTCAGTAAATCATAGTGCTCCCAAAGAGAGTATTAGGAGGGACTTCAATGGGAACAGGTCAGTGTCATATACCCTCTGCTGCCTTCTTTGAAGCAACTCTTTCATACGCATGCACATTGACCACAAAGACTGGTATTAATAGCATTAGCGCTGGAAGCCCCAGCATCTTAAGACGGAGCAGTGATCCAGTGCCACACTCCTGTTTTTGTGCAAAATTTCACTGTGGTGAGACAGCAAGTGCTGCTGGAAGAGGAGAGTCATTTCTGAATTGAAGCTCAATTAGGGTGTTGTAGGAGACTTGACACCAAAGTGCTTTTATTTGGTCATGTATAGCACATGGCCTGTTGTGGGATCTGGGCCCTTTGCAACAGTATCACCCAAAGTGTAGAGTCCACCCAATGGCAGTTAGGCTAGCTTAACCCCTGTATAGCAGCTTCCATGCATATATTTGGGGTGGACAGGCAGCAAAGTTTAGTGGACTCTGCCTGTTGTGAGAAACTGGAATTGTGGATTCTAGTGTGGCCAGTGATCTGCCCTACAGCCTCGGGCAAGTAACTTCCCTTCTTTGTGCTTTTGTTCTTCCCATCTGTAAAAGGACCCATTTGCCTTCCACATGAGGGTGTTTGGTTGTATGGTACCACAAAACTCTGAATTACTACTGTGAGCTAAATATAATAACACCTTTATTCCTTCTTGTTCTAGGATAGTGCAGTAGTTTAGAGAAGGTGGACACTGAGATTGTATCACTATTAGTAATTTCTTTAACGATTGGACCAGGATGTTGTTGTGCCAGAGGGACAGACGGCGAAATGACAGGAAGACAAAATAAACCATGCTCCTTATGAAATCTGGGACTGGCTTTGAAAAAAAACTTTGGCCGTTACCCTATAGCACTCTGCTGTTTTCTTTTCTCAGCATTAAAAAACTTAGCATCTCTGCTGGTGCTGGGCATACCTGGCTGGTCAGGAACCAGGAGCAGTGCTCTGCTTGACATGGCCATTGGAAATCTGGGAAGGAAAATCTAAGTTGGAGAAGAGTGAAAACCCAGAGGTTTTGCGTTCTTGCTTTCAAGATCTGGGACACAAGTGCAATAGCCTTGAGGCTTGGGAAACAACCTGCAAGTTGCTGCATGTGCCCTTCAGCCTCAGGAGGAGTCCAGCAGAAGTGATTAAGGCAGAGTCTGAGCCTGTAGGAGAGGGGCACGCTAAGTAGAAGCTCCGACTGCTTTATATGAGCCAGTGGAGGGGTGATAATTGTAGGAAGAAATTTGGAAATGGTTTTGCTTCAGACAGGAGATTTTTCTTTTACCTCAGTGCTGTGCCCCACCCTGTTCTGACCTGGTGCAGGCTCTCCAGCACTAACAAATGACCCTGAACAGGAACCACCTCCTGTTCCCTGTGGCTCAGGCAAGGTGGGGGCGATGGAGCTGCTGTCATGCTTTCCTGTTCTCTGAAAACTGGCTGCTCATGAGCTGGAAATCCAGGCACTTAACTCAGCGGTTTCTTCCTTTATTTTTAAAGCTCATGGGCAGCCTGAGCTGAGCCAAGCTGTGGTAGCAGAAAGAGACAGCTCCAGTTTGAGATCTGCCCAGCTACATGACATGCTCTCACGCAGCCTTGTGCGTACCTAGATCTTAACTTTGGCTTTCCAGTTGCTATTTCTTGGGTTTCATGACTTTCGTGCTTTCCCCTGCACTTGGAATAGTGCCAAACCTGTGCTAAGCACCCACTCGCCATTCAAAATCCTCACCCCACCCCACTTATTACAGCCACTATCCCACACTTGTTAGAGTCTAGGACAGTGGTTCTCAACCTTTCTAGACTTGAGGCACTCCTCAGAAAATGAAGCTCTGAGCTTTCACATGTTTTTTTGACTACAGAAAATAGACCAATTCTTATGTTGCAAGGAACTTGGACAATAACGGGTCAGAATGATTTTGACATTATGGATTTCTATTTGAAATCTCTGGGTTTAGCTTGTGAATCTCCAGTAGGGCATGTGATTTCCTTCTAGGAATGAGTGAGCTGACTGCCAGTCAGAGCTGTTATCCAATAACCAGAATTCTCCCTATTCATCCTTTTTCCCTTTTTGTTTCTATTCTGGGAAATCCAGTTAATTAAGCAAGTGAATGTAAATGCTATGTGCTGAGTCAGCAGCCTGGGGCAAATGGGGAATTAACTCCCTGATTTAGCCTAGTATGGAATAGTTGAAACACTGAACCTGTTTGTCAAGGAGCCAAGGCAGCCAAGTGACAGGGTCTTTTGTGACAGAGATCTGCAAGACGTCTGCTGCAGAGGGCAACGGTGCTGATGATGGCAGAGGGGGCCCTTGGGAGATCAGGACAGCAGATGTGTCTCCAGAGGCATGAAAGTTTTAGAGTACTCCCACCACCCCTGTCTTCTACGGTGGGGCATAGGGTTTTGGACATTGCTGTTGGCATGGCTCGTTCTTTTTTGGACTTGATCTCCTGTGGTGTAAAACAACTTGTGCTGTTAATCAGCTGTTAACTTTGTTTTTGTGTGCAGGTGAGGAGGTCTGGAGATGCCTGGGATGCGGGGACAGTATTGCTGCTGACCAGCGACGGTATAGAACTGTTAATGAAGCTTGGCACAGCTCCTGCTTCCGGTAGGTCAAGTCTCTATCCTATTTAAATGCTGTTTTTCCCTGTGCTCACCCACCAGTGTCTTAAGCATCCACACTTGGCAGATGATTTAATAGGTTAAATTGGTGGCATGGTTTTTAGTGTCACCTTCTGTGCCTGACCCAGTCTGGGACAATCTTGCTGAGTGATTACATGTGTCTGCTCACTGCACAGTTCTGTTGTTAGCGGTAGCACTCTGAAATTAAGTTG